GAGGACATTCGACAGAATTAAACAGCTGCTCGACCACCAACAAATGACGCTAAAACTACCTGTACCAGGAAGACAGTTCACAGTGTGCACAGATGCCAGTGACTACGCTATAGGTGCGGTCCTAAGACAGGACGAGGGAATCGTTGAGTATGCCAGTAGGGTTTTGACACTCAGAGAAAGTATTCAACGATAGAGAAAGAATGTTTAGCAATGGTATGGGCAGTCGACAAATGGAGACCTTATTTACTCGGCCGGCGGTTCCACATCGAAACTGATCATAAGCCGCTACAATTTTTGAAGACAGCGAGAGACCCACGGGGGAAGTTGTCACGGTGGATGTTGCGTCTTCAGGAGTACGATTTTACGATCTCACACGTTCCTGGAAGTGAAAATGTCTTGGCAGATTTGTTATCGAGACCAGAAGATGAGTCTGAGTTGCCCGAGGTCGCTTACGGAGTGCATGCAGTAGAACAAGACCCACTAAGACTTGCACGTAGGCAGAGGTTGGACGATACGCTGAATACAGTAATACAGGTGATCACCAACGGAATAGAAGTGGATCAAACTACGGCGAGTAAGGAGCTAACCACACTACTCAGACAGAGGGATCGACTCAGAGTGAATGCCTACGGGACTCTGACCTGGCGAGAGAACGACGGAAGCTGGCTGGCTGTCATACCTCAATCGTCGCGCCACGACATGATAGAAGAATGTCACCAGCTAGCGCATACAGGCGTGGCCAGAACGACCGACCTCCTAAGACAAAGTATGTACTGGCCAGGTATGAGAGAAGACGTAGCAAGATACGTACTTGGATGTCCACGGTGCCAGCTGATGAAAGGTGACCGGTGCATACGACCACCACTTCAGTCGATTCCAGTTACCGCGATAGGTGACTTGTGGTCCGTAGATGTCATGGGTCCATTTCCTCAGACATCCAATGGTAATCAGTACCTCTTGGTGATGACGGAACACGCGACACGATGGGTAGACGCCGTAGCAATCCCAGACCAACGTGCAAGAACCGTGACAGATGCAGTAGTTAGACACATTGTTGCAGACCACGGCGTACCGAAGACAATACTGACAGACCAAGGTCCCTGTTTCGAGAGTGAAGAGTTTACTTCCCGTTTGCAACAGCTGGGCATCAAGAGGATCAGAACGACCCCATACCATCCACAAACGAATGGCCTAACGGAGAGAAACAACCGTACACTGAAGGAGTGGCTGGCCTCGAAGGGCGGGAACTGGGAAACGGAGCTTCCACTGATTTTACTAACACATCGTGCTACCACTCAGGAAACAACGAAGAAGTCACCCTTCCAACTGATGTATGGTAGAAAACCACGATTACCGGTACACAATGAGACCTGGCCCATGCACCAAAAGTGGAGTACGACGAAATTAAAAGCAGAGAGGAAAGAGGCAGTCAAGAATGTAATACGGAAGCAGCGCAGTGATGTCGCGAAGTCTCAGATGAAAGAAAGGACGCAGTGCATTACCTTTGCAGTCGGGGACCAAGTGAAGTGTAGAGACAAAAGATATACAGTTGGAGGCGGGCTAGGTTCACGGAAACTCCTTCCAAAGTGGGAAGGACCATACACAATCACAAAAAGACGGGGTCAAGTATATACCATCCGAAGAGGTGATAAACAGAAACGAGTTAACGCCAGTCAGCTCCAAAGATGGGTACAGTGGGACAAGCCGGTCAGTAACAATCCTCAACTAGAGGATGTAGCACCCAGAAGGTCGGAACGTCTGCGCACGAAGCTATTTGACGGGGGGACGAGTGTGGTGAGAGCAGGCTGCTAGCCGATTGGTTGACATTAATCTACGTTAATGTCTAGGTCACTAATATGGGCCGTGAGAAAATATGAACAAGGCTGTTTCAACAACTAATCACAGCAAACTTAAACGTGGGCAAATATGATTCGCAGATAGATGGCTCCACTTTCCGAGGAACTCGAAAACAACCAATCAGAAGACTGCGTTTGTCTACTTGACTAGGCTATAATAATGTATGTGGAATTTATATAAATACGTGTTGATTTCCGTGATAAAACGATCTGTTGCCAGCTCTTGTCTTCTGTTGTTACAATTTTATGTCGTGTCAGATGACAACTCTCCGTAGGTTCTCACCTGACTGATTGCATGTGTTCCAATAGAGTGTCTTGATCAGTGCAATGTATTTTCTCGGGATTCATTCACAGCCAAAAATCACCTTAGTACATCTTGAGAAAGAGAATCCAAAGCCACTTTCAAGTCAAGAAATATGACGATTGTTAGAAACCAGTAAGTAAGTCTGTGTCCCAGAATCTGTCGAAGGGTGAAGATATGATCAGTACACCCTCTTCCCGGTCTAAAGCCTTCCCGCTTCTCTCGTGTTTCTTTTTCTCTCTCCGGAACACCGCCTAGTCTACACATGATTATTGAACCTAGAACTTAAGATATCAGATTGGTCAAGCTAATCCCCCTGTGATCACCATCACAGGAAGACTTGTCTTTCTTCGTGTATATCGGGATAATCAATGGCTTACATCAGACCAACGAAACTGTTTGTGATTCCCAGACGTTTCCTGATACCTCAGTTAACACAGACAGTAGACTGTTCCCACTCTCTTTAAATACCTCTGGAGTCATTCCACCGGATCCCGCTGCTCTGTCTCGTTTCAGGCTAGCGAATGCTTTCGTATCCTCTGTTAGTGACGGAGGACCAGTGTTTATGTCCCATTCAGGTGGTGTTTGTGATGGATTCTGTGTAAGTTGAGTGTGGCTGTAGGCCAATTAAATTGCTTCACAAGGTGTTCTTTCCACCGTCGCAGTCCTCTATCCTGGGAGGTCATTATCTTGGCATTTTTATTACAGATTGTTTCACTTATCATTTGTCTTTTTTCACCCGTTTCCATATTAGGACTAAATAGTTGTCTAGTGTTACCTGTTGCCGAAGCCTTCTCTCTTTCGCTTCTGTCACCCACCACTGTTCACGGTCGTTACGCAGGCTTCTTGTTAATTGCGTCTGATTAGCTTTCGCTTCTCATCATAATCGGAGCTCGCCGGAATCAGTGTTCTTGCGTCAATCAGTTCGGATGCTGTGGTAGAAATCCAATGGCTCTTACTAACTTTTGGTTTCAGGTTATTAACAGCTTTTACAGGTGTGCCTTCAGCTACTTGTATGTTGTTCCAGGCTATTTCAGGAGGAGTCCTGCTGTCGACTCCAGATACCCATTTCCCTATTTCTTACTTATATAGGGACTCGATGTCTTGATCTAGTTGGGGCTGCCACTGCTTCGCTGCCAACAATTTTGTATGTCGGTTTAATGCCTGTAAAAATGGCATGCATTTTCATGTAAATTTATGTTTTTTATGAAAATAAAATTATTATTATTATTATAATCGTTGGTATAATCGTACGGGAATCAGGGCGTGATTGGAGTCTACGCACGTGTTCCAGAAGGAGCGGCAGTCTTTTACTGACACCATAACTATGTGTTCTTTTTGTACCCAAAATTGGTCCTGACTAGGAACAGATGATTATCTGAGCAGAACCGTAGATGATGATCATCGCTGTCAATTCGTGTGCGGGGAACTCCATACATGCCACCTACAAACTTTTCAGTCTGCACATCTTTCCTGCTTAGGCATGGAAAATATATCTGGACATAAGTTGTAAAACGCTCGTTAGTGTATTTCGGATGCCTCTGTGTGGTGAGAGCTGTCTGCTAGCTAAAATTGATAGACAGTAATTTACGTCAGTTTTTACGTCCGAAATATTGGTCATGAGAAAAAGAAGAACAAAGACTGATTCAACAACCAATCACGGCAGACTTTGCGTAGGCGGCTACAATTCGTAGATAGATGATCTGAACTTCAAGAAGCGGCCACAAAAGATGAAAGATTAACTTTCAGCAAGAAACAACCAATCAGAACACAGTGTATGTCCGCCAACAATAATCTATTATAATGTTCATGAAAATCTATGATTATCGGTTGATTTCCTCATTCAATGATCTGTTGCCTGACTCTTGCCTTCTGTCGTTACATTTGTCCTAATGCGAATAGATTTGCTCTTCACTGAATTTAACTGACACATCTCAATACGACTCAACATTCCTAAAATAGATACAGATTAAATTTGATTTGTCACTAAGGAGCGAATTCCACCCAGATCACGTTTTCATGTCCTGTTTGGACAATGTGTTAATAGCTAGTTATAGCTAGGATTAGGGTTAAGTAAGTATTGGGGTTAGAGTTAGGATTAAGATTGGTTTACACCTAGGGATAGATAATAATAATAATTTAGAGTTGATGTCATTTATTTGAATCTTTTATTATCCACATCTTCCTGGTAAGTAGTCGTCAATCCTCTTACTGATAACTATATTAATTCAACCGACGGCTCTTAGGAAAGACTGCATTTGAGGATAAGTGATATAAACGATTCACGAAAACAGCCCATCTTCAGTCACTTCGTTGAAAACATGTAGAGAAACTAGTCTAACTTAGCAACTGGCATTCCTCCTTATAACTGGGACGTATCTTTAAGTCATGTCAGAGAAAGATGACCTGTTTAATGTTTTTCCAAGCGTTTTCTTGTAAATATACGTCATTTTTTGATAAAAGTCACTTATTTTTACGACTAGTCGGCTTAAGGTCACTCGTGGGTTCACATCCCTAGGGACGCTGTTATTGAACTTTGCCTGGGAAACATCGAAATAAAAATAATGTACGTATAACCACAACTCAAGAAGTGTATTGGGACCCACGGGATCGTAGTCACTGATAACCAGCATAATGGCTAACCACCCTCAAGACAGCGTGCAGCGAAAAGAGCACTGCATCTGTATAAAAACGGTGAAAGAGTTAAAATAGCCAGATGTTACACTTATATTCATCACAGTTGCTTGAAAACGACGAATAACACAAACATACAAAACCGCACACGATAGCACTTCCAGCGATAAATCAAAAATCCAATTGACCTCTGTTGTTCTAGCCAATGAATGACGAGAAAACCAGAAGCGAGGTAAATTTAGAACGCAATAACGTTTATCCTCAGCCTATATATTCATATATATACACAGTTTTATGAGTTGTATTCACCACACCACTATACTTAATTCGTAATGTAAAACAGGCTGCATATCTCTGCATTATATTACATGGTTGTGATATTAGTTTCTATATGTCTTAGATATGTACCATGTGAACGCATCGTATACGATCCAATATCGTTTTTGGGAGCTAGTATAAACCAATTTGATTTCTTTGTGCTCGCTTCTTGATTGTAAGGTATAGGTTCCTGATCCTATAATGTTAGAGAATTCTCTGACAGGATTTCTCCCAACTTTATTAGTAATCCCAGCTAGCATTTTTTCGGGCGCATTGCAGACTTTTTGGGGCAGACTTTGGGACACTGTCCCACGTAAGTAGATCTGCCCTAAGTTTTTGCCCCAAAAAGTCTGCAATGCGCCCGAAAAAAAATGCTTGCTGGGATATTAAGAGGAATCCTTCGTCTAATAAGTGGAAAATATTTTTCCAGACTCAAAGTACGGAAGACTGTCAGAAAAGCAAACGTAACAACCCAACAGTCATTAACAAAGGTAGCCCACCATCGGAAAATGTGACGATGCCATGAAGCTATATCGACTGTTGAACGATGTGAATGAACTAAACATGAATGATTGAACGCAGGTCCTGCACTTTGTACTTGCGTCTCTAAATGTGTCATTTTGTTTTAACAATCGACGTTCACTTTGCTCCCAGGCTTTGTGTTCTAAGTAGTGTGTGCCACTTGTTCTTATTTGTCTGTTTGTCAAGTGTATTCTTTCCTGTTTCACAGGTGAAGCTGTTCTAGTCTCTATGACGTTTGAACCTCTAGAAAAGATTGTCACTGGTAAACAATTATCATCCGTCTATGTCGGTTTAGAAATAAATGCACTGTTTTTGCTGTTGTTGGTGTTTACAATGTATACTGTTAAATGGGAACATATAGGTTATGTTTCTCATTACCAGGTGACAACGTTTCCTTCTCTGCCCTTTTGGAGATTCAACCACTTCCACTATGTCTGGGGGCAGCCTCTTAGCATCTAATTTGAAACATAAAGGGACCGCAGTCCACCATCTTACATAAGACTCGAGTCGCTAGCTGGCATAATGCCTGCTTTGATCTGATCAGTGATGATATCGTTGTGTACACATAGCTCTGAACTGATTATTCAAGTTTCCGGTAGACATCGTCTTGCAGGCGCGTGCAGAATTTCTGGCGTGATATTAAGGTGGAATAAAACAAAATGAATAAACCGTTGAATTATATGGTATATTCTTTGACATACTACAATTTCAAAATTTGTTGGATGAACTTAATATCAGCTGTTTACCAGCACTGCATATGTACGTATAATTAGTGAGGTTTGTGTAAAGGGATGTGGTAATGGTATGAACACTTTATAATTTTCAGTCGTAATTACAGCGCATTTACTACTTGTTAGGTCTTCATGCGGAATACACAGTGTCGGCGCCTACTGCGAAGCATTTTTACATACCCGCATCGCAGTCAAGTATTATACCGAGCCATATATGTCCATCTATTGACACTTCATAAACCTTAGGCGAAGACTAGCATAATTCACAAGATACCATGGGGATATTAAGGAAGGTAGCTTATGGCTTATAGTACGTTGCACTGAGGAACATAGGGTTTTCTGGAGTTCTTTGTAAATTCCTGATGTCTGTTCGCTTATTTCGGTGGATTGTAAGTATTTACTTCCGTAAGCTTTTTAAAAGTAAAATTAATGACCCTCCAGATGAGTACAGTGAGGCCTAGTAGTCAGAATGTGCACGTGAATTGGAAGAAACAGCTATACACTTAAATAATCACTCAAGCTACCGATAGCAATAAGGTTGGTGTCAGTTGGAAAGCCTGTAAGGTGATTGATATACAAAATGATAATCTTCTGGGATTAATAAGTGGAATCTAGATACTGTAAATACCTTAGTTTCAACATGGAACTTGCATAGAAGTACAGCATTTCAAGTTGTTACACTGCCTGTAACACACAGAAGTAGAGTAAAGAGATTGAAAAGAACTTTAATGAGCGGAAATATGCCGGAAAAAAACAACCACATGCGGATGTGATGGATCGGGGATATTATAAAGAATGAATACATCTGTGCCATCAATTGATGTAACCAACATTCGTGTCATTGGTTCTTAGTACCCTGATGTCCTCAAACAAGGAGTTTACACTTCTCGAATCAACTATAGAAGCCTTCGTGGGTTGATGATTAGTCGTGTTTGTCCACCCCTAGCTCTTTTTCAGCATAATCGTATGTCAACTAACATTACTTGTCGAGGAAGGCGGTTGCTGGACGTGCAAAAGACGTATCCTGGCCATCTCGATTGATGGGGACAGTGAGCGTTCCTGGCTCACACAACTCTCTGTCTGTCTGTCTGTTTTCGACATAGAACTTTGCACAAATGTGCGGAAGTTCAAGTCGCCACATTCCGTGTAGCACGCGAAGCAAGAGAAGAAAGTACAAGAAAAGCATAATAGAAACAGTGAGCAGAGGTGTGAGACAAAGGAGTAATAAAGAAATACAAAACAGTTTCATTGAAGATCATAAGTCACAGGGAGTGGATGCATCTGCGCCACTGAGAACGGTTTTGAGCCATGTCACACAACTGGTTGTCATCAATTCAGATGACTAGTATCCGTAGGATTTTACACAGCTGCATGAGTTCGAGTAGAGTGCGTTAATTAGTGCAGTATAATTTCTCAGCGCTCTCTTTATGCATAGACAATGCAACAGCACCAGGTTGAATGACGCCGTGAAGTATACCTATTTTCTAGAATATGTGATAATGTGGCAAAAACACGCTCTCCTTGGTTTAAAGCGTGCGTGGTTTCCATGGGTTTGTTTCTCTGGAGTGCCGCTTAGTCTTCGAGTGATTACTGGACCTAGAACTTAATATATTAGTCAGGCATACCTTGGACATCGGTTTATTTGATAGAACGCAGTTACAGAATATTTCTGATTACATTACTTTTCAAACACAATTTATTGTTGATTTCCAAAACATACTGCGTTACTGTCATGTTGAATGAACTTAACTAATATATAATCCTCCATTCTCAGCTATAACTCTTGGTAGAACACTTTAAAGGTAATGCTGGCCTACAGAGCCAGCGTTATCTAATCTAAAGTACGGCGCCCCACGTGCGGTTAACAATTATGGAAGAGGAAGTTTAGAAGAAACTCCAAGAACTGGAGTACTTTAAGGCGGTGGAGGTGAAACTGAAATACAGAACTGACTAGATTGTATGGGGAGTTGAGTGTCCTGTCAATGTAGAGTGAGACGATTGTTATGCTTGCCTTTAGCAAATGGCCAACATGATGGGTGTGGCAATTATTGAAGTGTATCACTAGTAATATTGGAAATACTGTCTGTGATCGTAGGCTTTATATAATCCATCAAAATTGATTTTCGAAAAAGTAGGATGGATTTTATTCAGGTGTGACGCATCGATCATGTGCCCATTTTCTGCGAGTTGCTAAAACACTGTCACACGTATTGCGGTTCAGCGGTCGTATTTCTTGTTACTAGGATTAGCTTTAATTCATTGAATAGGATTGGTTTTTGAGATTGATAGAGTGGAAGCTGTCTTTCGACAAGTGATGTTATCTTGGGACACTGGCTATGTCATAAATAGGTTATGAATGTTATCTCAGCAACTTCTACTGCATGAAAATGATAACGAATACTTCTGAATGTCCTTGATGAGCATGTTCACTTGTTTTCACTTTCGACTTTTCTGTTTCTCGTTTTTGTTTTTTATTTTGATAAATATTTCCATTATGATAGTTATAGAACACGATTTAAGCATATACGTATTTTCGGTAGGTCCTCTTCAAGCTATACAATTACATAATAAAGATATCAATCATAGAAATTTGAAAAATGTAGTTTCAAATAGAATCAAAGTTCAGGGATGTGAGTTAGTGGATAACAATCTCAGTGATCACAATAATAACAAGGATAAATTCATTCAAGTGTTTATATAATCTTGGTAGTTGTGAATATGTAAGCAGAATGTTTATACTGGCAGGAGTAGTAGAGAAAATAACAATTGTCGCATAGCAATTCGATAATATAAGGTTAAAATATACAACTATAGCACAGCTAAATATTGACAATGAAGTTAACGGTACAAATAAAAATAATATTTACAGTTATCCGGTGTCACAGGGAAAGGTAACTATTCTAGGTTGGGGATGAAGGCCATAGAGGAGAGAGCAATTGGACAAACTTTTGAACACTGAAATTGCGTTGAACTTTTTTATGGTAACTGCCTCAGCTATACTTGGCAATCGAAGGGCCTATAAAGCTGGGGAATCTAGTTGGCGCCGTGTATAGAATTGTAAAGGCTGAGTTTTTATCAGTCTTGTGCTCCGTATCCACTAGGTGTGTGCCAATATAAAACTCCTGACTGGCTTTACTACTGCTCTCCCTAACCAGATTGGACAATACTCAGAAAGACGTTGGTGGGCTTGATGAGTTGTCTTACCCATGTAACTATCTTCAAAAGAACAGTGAAATTTATAAATTCACATTGAATTGGTTAGACTCGTTAGCTTACCCGTTACGAGTGGTGTATGGTATGGTGAGTTAAACATAAGTTGGTCTCATTGGCACGAGCTCACACATTCGGGGTATATTTGTTCCAAAAGGCTCTCAACTTCTGAGAATTTGAAGAAGCACTCTATGACTGGATAACCAGAGCCTTTAGTACCTTAGAAAATTCCTTTTCCATTTCATCTGTGTCATCTTTGCCATTAGATAGTTTATGGAATTTCGAGGTGTCCTGTAGAATACTCTTCTTATCAATGTAGTCAGCTCTGTCTAATAATATGACCGTAGCTTCCTGATTTGCTATCGTTTGATTGGGCCCTGTTTAAGGTCTTGATATGAACCTTTCTGAGGATACTTTTCCCAGTATACCTTCTTGATTTATATTGGCAACAACTTTCAACAAGACAGGCTTTAGTTCTTCGAACTGTAATTGAGATTATGGCACTAAGTCATTTGTCTGGTTGAAAAGGGTTTCAAGCTGTAATTCAGTGTCTAATCTTATTGGACGGTTTATGACGTCACGATACCTTGGATGTAATAAAAATACCTCTAGTTCTAGTGGAGTGAGAGAAACCCTGGAAAACTTATTAGCATACTTTTTAAGATGTATTGCAAATATAATTTGTGGTGGTTGCTTTTCCAATGTTTTCATTAGACAAGCATTGTGCTTATCTATACATTTACCAGTAACTTCGACGTAATTCACAAACATAGAACGTAGCTTATCTGGTAAATTATCAGCTGCAGTTTGACGTTGCCATATATTTCTATCAAGGTTGAAACATTTGATCTCAATCACATTTAAGATAAAACGTTTCAGCGTCATCGTGTTCAGTCTTTTTGTGATATTCATAAGGATTCCCGGCAGAATTTTTTAAAATTTTGCATGGAGTATCTCTTAGTGTCCTTGTTTTTGAGTGTGTTTTGAATAAACAATTTCAAAGATCAGAACTGGACTGTGACGCTGATAGACTTATGTTTTGTAGTGTAGCAAGTGATTAAAATCAGAGCATCTAACTTTTGGATAGGTCTAAAAATGCCCGATAAAATAGGAGTAAAATAGTGGGTCAAAAATGTTTTCGTGTTATGGCGTAATGATGACAAGTGTCGACTGGATGGGAAGATAATATTTATTTTTCACGAGTTATCTATAAGTATATCTTTATTGTAAAATTTGTTTTCAGCACTGCAATGGCCTCAGATGCATCAGATACTGATGACTATGAGTCCTGCAATTGGTTCCTAAACGTACGACCCCAAGTACTTGTTTCCGAAGTCCACTCACATCCCTTAACATCCAATGAAGGATATTTGATGGATAACCGTACACAGCGGTTTGTGGAGCGTTATTTCAATGCCTTTTATTTAGTTGATGTTGGTGGGGAATTAGAAAATGATATCTGTATACTAAGGCATAGCAATACTGTATGTGTTATTGGCCTCGCCTTTGGTCATCATATTTTCAAACGGTGTGTCACAAATGCGTGTAGTAAAAGAGATTCGGCAGTGAATCATCAAATCTTGGGATTGGACTACCAGGTAAATAGCTTTAACATTTTCTAACTGCTTTATGAGGGTTTGTAACGCAAATTCCTGTTTCTGTACTAGCAATTAGTATCTCTAAAGTAATAAAACGATACCTCAGCATGCTTATTCTCTTAAGCTCACCAGGCTAACGTCCTGAATCCAAAATATTCATCCTACGAGTCTCAAACGATTCTTCAGTCCTCCTGGAATTACTCCTTTATGGATAGAATTTAGCTCTGGAGATGGACTTATTCCTACTAAACTATCGTCTATGTTGTCATTCTGAGCGTTCCTGTTCCATCAAAGAGAGGTATTCGTTCCAGTATTCTGCACTCACGAGTGTATAATACACTGGAATTTCAATAAGAAAAACTGCACAAAGTGCAGTGCAGTTTGCTACACTTCGTAAAACCATACATCAAGGTAGGGAGAGAAAAAAAATGAAAAATAGCTATGAACAACGGAGATATACAGGAGGAACAATATTTACATAGAGAATTATAAGGATTTAAAAGACCCAGGTGATCACAAAGAGTGAATGCATCTCTGTCATTGAGAACGATTTCGATCCATTACACCTACTATCTCAAGGACCCCAGCCAGGCAGTCTACACTCTCCTATGTTACTCAAATCAAGTGTCAAATGGTCATCTCTCACAGTCGTAAAGAAGGACAAAGTGAACTGTTGCGTAGCCACGCGTTCTCAGGGGGTAGTCTTGTACCAGAGATGATGAAAGTTGACAATTACCACACGAGCGTTTTGTGTCCGTGCTGAGTTTTCGTCAGCAATCAACCATATAATGTTAATACTGCTTCCAAGATACCTGAAGTGGTTAACACGCTTAGCTATTTCATTCCCTATTTTTAACTGGGAGCCATAACAGACTAATCCTACGTCATTTTACATTCTGCAAGTGCCATTCACATGTCAAACATAATAAGGATCCTCCTCAAGGTGTCCAAAAAACTTTGCATTTACTGAACTTTGGTTGCAGGTTATCAACAAACTGTTCCACTATTGCTAAAGTAGTCTGGATATAATGCCAGGTTTCCTCTGGATATATATTACTATGATACTGATACGTGTTTAGTTATTTCTTCTCCAAATAAAGACGACCCCCGTTGTCCTTTTTTCTGCATGAAACTGCGTAAGGGCCACGCATATATTTTTCTGGTTGTCACAGATTTGAGCATTGGAGTAAAGATGTGACTTATTGCTTCAAGCACTCTGTTTTTTAGTCATGGGTTTGAGTACCTTCCCATCTAATTCAGTTTACTCAACTAGGTGGTACTATCGGCCTTCATACAGTTAGTATGGCTCTCGCCCTGGTACATGAAGATTCAGTCCTGCGTAATTTAGCATAAAAAAACAAAAACTTTGGGGTAATCTGTTAAAGTGAATATCTATGGATATTTTATTTGTAGCAGCAAACTAGGTAACCTTCGATGGAATTCATTCTTTAATCCATTCTAACTGCGGTCAGTTGAGGAGTAAATGGAGATTATGAAAAGGTATCGATGTAGTAGGTAGGTAAGAAGACGGCGCGTGATAATGAAGAAAGCTAGTGGAAATGTGTGCGTGGCTATTACTTCCCGGTCGCTCACACCTTGGATGTTTACGTCTTAATATTCTTGAGGCCGAAGCGGCATTCGTACTGCGTGAACGCAAAGCCCAAGGGACAACTGCATTAGGCATTGTTCGAGTTGGATTTAGTTGTGTCCTTACTAATATCCATATCGCTGCAGGGTAAGCTGGGATATAAAATGTTTGGGGTAGATTTTTTCCCAACCAACTGTCCACAGAGCGGAGATTCACCATAGCTAGCCTGCTGGTCACCCGAGGGAAAAATCTTACTGCCGTTACAGCTCCATTCACTAGAAGTGCGAACTCGCCTTCAGAGCATCAACGTAGTGTAAACGACAAACACCATGATGGTGTTCTAAGTCTGACCACTATCGAAATGACTACTGGAATGAGCCCGTAGGGAAATTCGAGCAACAAAGCAGCTACTATATAATGAATGTGATGTAATTCAGCAGGACAGAGTTTGTGATATTGCTATTATTTAGACCAATGAACTTGATGTGGAGTCTAAACTCGTGATTCGTCGTTACCTGACAGTGATCTGTTTCAATTAGCCTCTCTACATACAGGCTTTTAAGGAATATCTTACTATTTTACCTCGAAACTTGTAGTTCATCCTGTTACTCATTCATGATGTAATTAGCAACTTTTGAAACTGAGTGGCCATCATTTTCGTTTGACCTTACAATAGTGCATAAAATCAAAATGTTAATACATTGTCATTCGTTCTTATTACTTCTTGTGTTTCTGTTTATTTTTTTATTTTGAAACATATTTTAGGTTTCCAATGGTCTGGATCGTTTGAAAAATGAAATTAGGGGTCGTCGTAAACATGGAAGTCACATTTTGAGTAAACCCACGGATATACTAGCCTATGCTGTCTGTGATCAAGGAGTGAGACATCCTATAGTATGTGGGATCCAAGGACATCTTTTAGAAGTAAACAGTAGTCTCGATATCAGAAAAAATCAACCTGACTCTTGTTCTTCTCCACCTGTTCATAGCTCAGATAACCCATGTTCCTCTTTGTCAGCAGTAAGCTTAACTCCTTTGATAGATAAAGGGGATAAGATTGGAGTTGGCACATATGTGTGCATTATAATGCAGAACTCAAGGTCAAAGAAATCACGAAGTGGTAAAGTGAGTGATTACTCATTATCGAAAACTGATGGTCCTAATTCGACTCTTACATCTCATGAAGATGATTTTCCAGAATATATTGACTATTCTACTCAATCAGATTACACGTCACAAATTGGTGATTTTATTTTATTCTCCAAATCTCAAAAAGTGCTCAACTGGAATGAATACTTAGACCTTAGATTATCCCATTGTACATAATATGTTTAATCTATACATCTTTTGATGAGTTGTTTTTTATTCATTTAAACAGTGTTGAAGTGTCCAACAGGTTAATATGTAAACACTAAATTCTAGCGCATTCTTCTTGAATATCACCCTTGTAATGATAATAAATAACGATGGCTCGGGACTAGTTTCACTTCAGAATCACTATACTGTAGAATTCTTGTTAAGATTTTTCTATGTATAGATTTTTGCGGCATTCATCTGCATAGTAAGTGAGAAAAATGGATGCTCTGATAGTTGCGATGTAACTGTATCTTAAAGTTCATGTTATTACCAATCTTCGAATAGAGTTTTCGTGTTAAAACAAAGCACTAGTATCTGTGGTATTGAATAACCTGAATGCAGTTGTTTTAGTTCAACAAATTAAAATAATTATTTAGTCACTTGATCAACAAGCCACTAGATAAGTGTAAAATGCTCAGAACACTGATAGTAATCAACTGTAGATAAATATGCATCACTGTAGTCGATTTTAAGATATATAACACAACTTAACTTTATGTGTTTTTCTTGAAATAATTGCGCTTCCCATGATGGCATGAACTCATAGCACGCATATATATATATATATATATATATATATATATATATATATATATATATATATATATATATATATATATATATATATATAGAGGACGGCAGAAAACGCAAGGGAGTTTTATAATAAGGTCGAATACATGCTTTGTCACCTCGGCTATGCTAACGAATATCTTTTTGTCTTCATTATAGGATATTAACTGGTATTTAATGTAAGTGAATAATACGTGAACATCGAACATAATTTATTAAACAATGGTAAATCCAAAAGTCAACAATTCACGAAATACTAATCCTAAAAGAAATATCCAGTTTATAATATTAGGTATACTCAGTTTTCAAAGTTGTGAGAGTTGTAAGAGAGTAGAATTACTCTTGTAAAATGTTACATATAAAACAATTAGTCATTCTATAACCCTTTCAATATTGATGTGTTTAAATACACTGGCATGCACCTATTATAGAATTAATAATTTTTAAGATAAAAATTTGAAAGTAAAGCCTTTTGTAGGTAGGTATTGTTTTAGATTCAAGTGGAGACTGAGTTATAATTTTGTTTTTAACTCAAGAGAGTAACACAAAGTATTGATTCAGGCAGGAAAATAAATTCAATAGTTTAGTACCCTAAGAAATCAAGAATAACTGATGGGCAAAGAAAATAACTGAGTGTCAGCATCAGGAACAACAGAAACATGAATGAATAACAAAACCAACAAGTTAAAATATCAACTGGGATCAAATGGTTTTTTGTTGTTTATAATATGAGAGTGGTATATTTCACATTTCTCTATGACATCCAGGTTCATTATCTGGGCATACACATGTACGTGATCTTCCACCATCATTAGGTAAGCATATATAACGACAACGTCCATTAGAATAACTGCATGGATTAGTTGAAGCTATGAAAATAAATAAGTAGAGGTTGATAATAACATCATTAGTTGTTGTAGTTAATTTAACTTGTTATTTATATTTTTATTGACAAAAATAAAAGTAAACTTAGTAGTGAATCAGGTATTTACGTATTTTTTGTTGTCCAAAAGGATACAGTGTACCATTGAAAGCTTCATAATCAAGGACTTCGGACCAGAGTACTCCTCTATCCTCAGCTTCATTTCGTCAAATATTTATACTTTGTCAAGAAAAGAAGATATTTCCTGTAGTTTGGTTTGTAAGGGTTAGTTATGTTTTTTACGAGTTGATCACGGATTGATATCAGTTAGAGAACCATTGAAAGCCAGGGAGTACTGGACAGCTGCTGTTTCATCCTAGTTTGGGAATCATTGGCAGTACGCACTCCCTGGTTTTCAATGGTTCCCTAACTGATATCAATGCATGTTGTGTTACATTTATCAGTTTCCTTTAAAGTATTCATTCACAAACAAATCAGGCTTAAAATAAATTTTGTTCCCTTGTTTAAGGTATACCGGTTTAGTATCCACCATTATCATCAACGGGTGAAATCTGAAGGAAGTCGCCTCTTTCCTTTACCTAGACAAAAACTGTTCCCACTACTGGCGGCACATATGAGGATATCGGAAAAGCGAGATAGACCTACATTACTCTGAAGTCAGTGCGGAAAAATTTTGCACTCCAGAATTTCTACACTAACGTCAAGTCAGTGCTTCTATATAGCTTAGAGACTTGGAGCTCCACAAAATGCAACCAGCTGCAGGCTTTCATCAACAGCTACTTTCACTGGATACTGAAGATCAGACGGCTAGAATGGATTAGCAGTAAGGAAATCTGTCAACACACCAACCAAGAGCCTATCTCCCAACAAATATGTGGGGATGGGTAGGAAGTACTCTGAGTAAACCGTTGAGTAACATCATTCGCCATGTCTTACAGGGGAACCCGAACAGCAAACGCTTCGCAGGGTGACAAGGAGAAGATCGTGTGAGGAAGAGATGGAAGCTTATTGGCGATTGCACAGCCAGCTGAAAAAGACTTCGGCGAACAGAATGAAATGGAAAAATGTTTCTAAAGTCTTATGTCCCACTCGGAATAATAGTAAAAATAATATGTAGTGACTGAGCAAGGTGAAAAACAATATAATCGGGTTACTTACTGGCTTCAGTATGATAAAGTATATGATTAAAAGTCTAAAGTAGCAGGATACAAGTCAAAGTTATTTTAACACCTAATTACTTTTGAATGTTTAAACCATTCAATATCAGGTTACGAGTGTGATTTATGGAAATAGGTGTTCAAATGTCTTAATGTGACTAATAGTGTTTATTGTTACTTCTAATTACTATTAATACGGACCAACTGTCCGAATATAGAAAATGAAGTACTTAACTGTAGGTTCATTGTTGAATGAGTTATCCTCAGAAATTTGTTGACCCTGTGGTTAAAATGCATTCAAATTCTAGAATAATACTTCGGTCACATTCGAAAGATTCCGAGCTGTACATAGATTGATTTACTTTATAGCCACTGTACTGAATTCATATATGAAACTTAATTTAATCATCATACTGATAAATTGCAGTACAACTGCTGTAGATGTTTATAACATTTTTTTCTGTATGAATGTTTCATTCTTTTTTAATCCTCTTCTCATGATCTTGCGTCCTGATTGGCTGTTCGGAGTTATATGTTGGACAGGTCTTATTCACGAATAAGAAAATACTCCTTGAGGAAAAAAAGACACTATTTTTGAGGGAATAAATGTGAAACCGTCAAATGAATGCATTTTTAATTACCTTGAGGACATTCACCTAATACAGCTAAAGCCTGGAAACGATTGGAACAGCACACATAACGAACACGTATTCGACGGTCAGGATTAATAGAGTAAAACACCGTTCTAAAATTTAAAGTAAAATAATAGTAATCATCTTTAAGTAATACATAAGATTTCATTCCTTATTCTTATATGAGTTGTTGATTCAATCATTGTTGTTCCCAGTTGACAGAGAAAATCATTACAAGAATACTACTGATGAATTACATCGAGCATGTAAACTTCGATAGTTCCACATTCAAACTAATAAGGTTACCATACATTCTTCTTTCTCGTTTATTATTGTATTATACACATACCTGTGTGCGTTGCTGGCACAGTGTTGGAATGCTCGCCAGTCACACAGGTGGTTCGAGGTTCGATCCCCGGCTGACGTACTCTTTTACCTCGCTAAGCCAATAATAAGACCGGTAAAAAGGGAAGGTTGGGTGTGAGGCTAGCAACCCCATCCAGTAAAAAGAAACACCACTGCTACCGAAACTTCTAGCTTGAAGCCCTATATATATATATATATATATATATATATATATATATATATATATATATATATATATATATATATATATATATATATATATATATATATATATATATATATATCTGTAGCCAGCCTTCATGCACATTAAAAATCATATTATAGGTTGTATCACGTTAAAAGTAGGATATAAATTAAACAAATAACTCAAGTGTTATACTTCATATTTTTTCATAATATTTATTTTGTAATGTTTGAGTTTCAACTAATTTGTTTGAACGTATCATGCAGATTGAATAGTTTTCCTGTAGTCAGTCAAGTTGCAGTTTAACCACGATATTTTACTCTTAAAATTGTATTTACTGGAAAACATTTATTTTCATCATTTATTCCACTTGTATGCCATTGTCTGGATGAAGGTAATCGGGTAAGAGTGTAGGCAGTCACAGTGAGTAGTGAAAAAGCAAACTATTGCAAGGAGTGAGTAATTAGATTACTTAGGTCTTCTATACGGTTATAGCTTTTAGCTGAACACTTTGAGAACAGTAATAATACCACTTAACAAGTTTCTTTAAAAGAAGTGAGATACACAGTTATAACTGCATAGAAGTTATTTTGTCTGGTTGTTTTATCTTGACAACCAGTTTTGAAAATTGTGAAGCTGACTGATTGTTCTAGGAGCCTAACTTTCAGCCATTAGGATACCCGTTCGATGTCCAATACACCTATTATCACTAGTCGTCACACAGTAGGTATATTTCTAAATGTATGATAGTGCTTTTGAAAAGCAAATACACTTTCATATAAATAGATAAGTACTGTAAAGAAAAGCTTATCTGTCAGCATAATAAATTTGTCAAAGTCTTATTATACAGTAATATTAATTACCTTGTTGCATCTGTCCATAACAGTGTTCCTTTATGCTGGGTCATGCCGAATGATGGTTCTTCAGAGGGATTAAACTCCTTTAGTCTTTCATTAGTCAGTATTTCTCTGCCTGTTTGACCTAGTCGTGCACAGTGTAATTCAGTGACTAATCCATACATTCCTTTTGTTGATCTTTGCATCCAACACAATTTTCCTGCTGAATTACCATTCACCGGTGTTGATGGAGATATACTTATGGCTAATGGTTCACCAGTTAATTGTAACAATTGTTCTTCATTTTCACCTGACATTGAGGCTACTTGTATTGTCCCATTTGGTCGCCAACCATCTGTATATATTGCCCAATACATTAAACTATTATTATATAAAAAGAAAGAAAGAAACAACATGATATAATTATTGTACATTGAAAGCAGTATATAATAAAACAATTAGATAAAAAGAGTCAGAAATATGTACAGTTTTCAAGATATAAGAGAAATGAAGCTGTGAATATATCCTAGGGACTATAGTTTATTTTTATCTGAGTTAGTCAGGTTATTCTATGAACTCTAGAAAAAGAAAGTGTGGAAAGTAAATAAGTAGAAATATATGTTAATTCCGCTTTAGATTTTGGTTGGTAATCTTTTATGAGCCATCCTGAAAAATGGGAGCTTAAAGGTTTGTTTGTGACTTAGGCAGAAAGAGACAGAAGTAAAGGTAATTTACATCTGATAGATAATAAACCATACAAACTATAAGGAGTGCACTAGCTCCTTACATTTTTGTTTATGTCACTAGGTAGTAGGAATCGGTCGTCTGCTTGATACCCTTTGAAGTCATTTGTTACCTGTCTATGAAACTTTACCCAATTACAATAGCTAACTATTTATCTAATGGCAGTATTAAAATATGACTTTAGTGTATTGACTTATCAGTCATACTGACGAAATTGAGCTGAAGTTGCATAATGTGAATGGAAATAAATTCGAAATACATAAGAAAACTGACCAAAACTTATTAAGTTCAGATCCAGTAGGTAAATCGCAACATGCGCACCTTGAAGTTCGACGATCATGTTTGGGAACAGGCGAATGAACCCAAACTAGAAAGAAACGCTTATTGAGTAAGCTTGTTTCACTGTGTCCTCCAGGTAGTGTTGCTTCATGAGAAAATCTAGGCTGGAAATAACTTAATTCACAGAAACCCGTCTAGTGGGAAATGTTGGTACACTATGTTAAATGCTCACCTAAGGAAATATTTTGAAATGTGAGATGAAAGGTAAGTATTTTTACGCCAGATAAACTTACTTGCACAAGAAAATGAAGTAAATATGAAATAAATATGTGAGTAGTTGGAAACCTCTCAAATCAACGAGTAGTGCTTTTACCCAGATGAAAGTGATCAAAAACGTCAGATGGCCGTTTGACTCGTTTGAAGCGGAGCTTATCAGCGCTGTATCCAGTTTAGTTCACATCATGGGTTCAGATCACTTCAAACCGCTCTAATTCTGGCGAGTTACTTGAGTAGACTCGCAAAACACAGAATCCAATTATATATATATATATATATATATATATATATATATATATATGGTGAGAGCAGGCTGCTAGCCGATTGGTTGACACTAATCTACGTTATGTCTAGGTCACTAATATATGCCGTGTAAAAGTATGAACAAGGCTGTTTCGACAACCAATCACAGCAAGCTTAAACGGACAAATATGATTCGCAGATAGATGGCTCTACTTTCCGAGAAATATCGAAAACAACCAATCATAGGACAATGTTTGTCTGCTTAACTTCCGAGAAACAACCAATCAGAAGACTGCCTTTTTCTGCTTGCATAAGCCTTATTAATGTACATAAAATATATATAAATACGTGTTGATTTTCGTAATAAAACGATCTGTTGCCAGCCCTTGTCTTCTTTTGTTACATATATATATATCTTTCATTGCTTAACTCTAGTAACTGTAATTTAAATTTGTTCCAAAGAAAGGTAAAAAGCCCACTGGTTTGGTATAACTAGAATTAAGAAATGGTGTTCATTGTATGTTGCAATGTGTGGTTAGATGTAGTAAACTCTTAACCATTTCCCAACATAGTCGAACTTTAGATTATATCGCAAGATAATTACTACAGTGGTGGGAAATGTCAGATACTGTAAATCATCAAAGTGTATAATGTAATCAGCTAAAACACTCCCAACATTTTGATACACTACAGCTAATGTCCATATACCCATTATAAATAAGATTTTATTTTGATAAATCTCACAGTGTTATACAGTAATATCAACTGTCGACGTTTCAAGCACAAACTCTACCATAGTGCCCAAGTTTTATACTTTTATCAATAATGTCCATATAGTTTGTCTGGCAAATGAGGAATATTATGCAAGCAAAGTAATTACCTCTCTTGTCTTCAGTAGTCATTATTAAGACTTATAAATATTTTTACATATTTTCTATTCATATTAAAATTTAAAGATACATTAAGATTATTAAAGATCTAAAAACAAAAAATGATATCCAATCAAATTCCTTGTTCATAAATAGAAATACAAGATCATGAATGCCGTTTTCATTACTGACGATAGTTGAAAAACCACCGATAAACATGAAATACTGAACAGTTTTGCAAATCCATAATCCCAATGAGCATTCAAATGATGATTAAGGTTATGGGAACTTGCTTTACCACTCAACTAATCGATTGGAATCGAGCTGTTCATGAGTTCCAACTTTTATTGATTAGCCATATAGGATGAATGATATCTAACTTGTGCTTGGTAGCGCGATTTGAAGTGTGGTGTTGTGACCAGTAAAAGATATTTTATAACACTAAAGAGGTCTATTGAATGAATGACGTAAGATACAGCTCCGAAGAGAAATATTTTGTATTCTATCAGTTACTAAAAGTGAAGTCGGCTGATACTACATAAATCTATGGTTATATTGTATTACTGTTATGTTTACTCACCCTAGCGTAGGATGTATAGCTAGTCCTGCGAAATTCTGAGGCACTGAGGATGTTAAACTATGTAAATTTTCAAGCGTAAAGCCAATATTTGGTTTGGTTGGATTGAAAACAACAATTTTTCCATTTGCTTCATCCCAGGCAAATACATTTCCTGAAAGTGGATCTACGGCTAAATTACGGAATCGACTAAATTGTGAATTATATATTTCTTTTATGGTTAATTGTTGCTGGCCAGAATTCGCGTTGCCCCATCGAATGGCATGACCATAATCAGATGTATAAATAATTCGTTGGCTGTTACAATCAGCTACCATAGAAACAGGTCCGTATTTATTATTTTCAGCTAGATAAAAGATAAACGAATCATGAAATTACAAAGCATAAAAAATAAATTGATTTCATAGAAGTATTCTTCAATAAGTAAGCAAGAAATCCCACCTGATATTCAACACGATGTGTAGTGACGAAACTATTTTACTAGGACAACTGAAGACCCTGATATATGACTGTTTGTGGGACAGAACTAAGCAACTCTTTAAATTTTGGGTTTGATGACCTTGCAGTTTGTTGGTGGAATACAAGTGGGTACCAGCACAGACAAGAATGAGTTGAATAAATGTTAAACATGAATATTTTACAAAACACTTTTCTTTCTATAACATGGACTAAAGATGCTTTTCAATATGGGATTTATTAATCCAACATTAATAAAGGTAATTTTGAAACAGTACTGCGGTTTCATAGGTTGTTGATTGCGAAAATACACGGTCAGAGAAAGAGCTTAGTGCTTTCCATAACAGTTTGTAAAGTACCTGGTCCCTGTTAGGATTTCTGGCTTTCTACTACAAACTCAAGGAATAGTTTGCTTGCCTAAACACTAATGTAGTCCCAGGGAGACAATATACACAGTTTAAAACGTTAGTCACTGACTGTTCTAATTTCTAAAGTCTTGATCCAACTAAGAGAAACATTCTTTCAGTTTGTCCAGCTCTGGTTACCTTCGTATGAATTTCCTTATTACCAAAATGATGTAAGAATAGAATTCTGCATTCAATAATGTTACCTTAATAGACAACAGGAACACATTCTCACTGAGGTTTTATTGATATAAAGATTATTAGAAGTTGTTATTTTCATGCCAATAGCACGACAGTCAAACCAATTCCTGGCACATGAAGACCATAGCAGATGTAGGACATTTTATCACGCACTCACTTTGTATTTAAAAAGCGCTTAAAAACACTAAGAAGAAAACAGAAAAGGTGGCGGAGAGGTTGTTTTACTAAAATTTCATTCTCCAGCTTCATGACTAAGTGTAGGTTCTGTTTGTTCAATAACAAAAACGGAGCAGCTCACAAATTACATTAAATACAAGACATCATGAATGAGTTGTAGGATACTGAAAGATTCACACAGTGTGATAAAGAAGAACCTTGTCAAGATGTAAGCAATTTCTGTTGATATTATTGAAGAGGACAGTGTAAACTAAAGATCCTTAGTCTGGAACTGCTAAACAATTAGATTTCTAAAACCTCTTTTATAATTGAACTTTTCTTATTTTTTTGAGATAGACATTGACATTCTGGGAGGGGTTAGCTGGGATCCAATAACTCGTGATTTTTAAATTCTTTTAGTCTGCTGAATATCACTTTGTCGTACACTGCTGTCAGCTGACTAGACTGATTCAGGAAATGAGGGTTTTTGGTGAAGATGTCGATCTGTTAACCATAACCCAATGGACACTAAAATGTTGATAACTTAAGAACTTTGTGAGAAATGCTAATTTAGTTCACTTGTTTCTCAGTATTTCTCTCGACGAATAATTGCAGCTACTGTCTGCATGTAAAATAAATTTCTCTTTAGTTATAGTGTAAAGCATATATAAGCATTTTTAGATTACATTTACTTGTTGAATCACCTACCAATATTCCATAATGTGGCTTTTGTTACATTAGAATCAGTAGACTGCGTCATTAAAATGCCATCATCACTAGTAAGTAGTACGTTGAATGGAACTTCGAAGAAAAATAAGAGAAAAATTAAGTAATTTAGTAAAGTGATAATAACTGAATCAGATATATTGAAATATCAAGAAATGTTTCTCATTATTATGTGTATCCAGTTAAAGAGCTGTTGATGAACAACAAGAACAATACGGTTTCCTATATCAACTGCACGTCTCCACTTGCTTCTGTCTTCTGCTCTACTTTTCACCTGCACCCATGTTAGTCCATACTGTTTCAACTCCTCCTCACACGATCTCCTCCATGTCACTCTTGAACGTCCCACTCACCGCTTCCCTTTCGGGTTCCACTCGAGCTATGGCCTAACGCGCGGTATCACCCAGCGGCCTCCTCAGCGAGTATCCAATCCATCTCCACTTTCTCCTGCATATTTGTTGGGCGATTGGTTCTTGTTTTGTTTGTTCCCATAGTTTCTTGCTGGTGATTCTTTCCGGCTAGGGCATCTGATCTTCAGTATAGAGCGAAGATAGTTGTTGATAGAGGTCTGCAACAGGCTGTTGGAAATATTCTTTGTGACCCGCCCGCCAAGTTTCTGATCCGTATAGAAGAACTGACTTGACGTTTGTATTGAAAATCCGACTGAATTTTGTTGTTGATGGTGAGTGACGAAGATTTTCAGGTTGATAAATGTGTCTCTTGCCTTCCCGATCCTCGATTTGGCATCGTCGTCCGTTCCTCCTGTAGTTGAGACAATACTCCCTAGATAAGTGGATAAAGTAACCGCTTTCAAATCCCCCCGTTGATGGTGATTGGCTCTGGATGTTGCTGCTATTGTTGTTGTTGTTGTTATTGGCTGGTTATTTTCATAACCTCGTCTTGTCTATGTTCACCTGGAGTCCTGTCTTTGCTGCTTCTTCGACCAGTTTGTCGGTTTTCGCTTGTAAGTCTTCGATTTTGTGTGACATCAAGCATGAATCATCCTCGAAGTCTCTATGGAGCAGACTATTGTTTTTTTAACATACTTTTAACTCTAGAGCTAACAGCAGTGAGCTGATACATTATAAAGTCTTGATTTGACTGCCACCTTAATTAGCCTATTCAATTCAAATCATGTTGTCAAGACCAATGGATCTTCATAAACGTAACGCCAGTATCCAATGTTATTAATGTGATAATTACTCATTTTCTTCTGGAATAATAATATAGTTTTCTTAATCCATTCCAGTAGCTTCCACTAGAAAAACTATTCCAATGCTCCATTTATCTGTCAGAATGATGAACTATTTTGGTAACACTACAACTTTTACCATAACAAATCAAATTTAACATACAAAAGTCGAATTTTACTGAATAGTATATTTAAAATTGGGTTCTTACAATTTACTGTCACATTCAACTATTTCTCTTCATAATTATTTAGCAATACTGGATACCTAAAACATATCAGTGAATGTTAGGTCAGTCTGTTGACTAGGCAGTTCTTGATTGTTACTAGTACAGTAGTTTAAATTGCACTACTGATTCCATATTAGTTTGTTTATTAGATATATCACACAGTGAAACAGTATTATTTACTGGTGGACGTTTTGAATAAAATTTATTTTTCATAATCATATCAATTGTAACGTGAGTTTTATAGTTTTCTTTGTTTTCTCCTATTTGTCATAAGGGTAGTAGAATTTTCCAGATATCAGGGACAGGTAATGAAACATTCCTATTACACGTATTTACAGTTGATTCGATAAACAAGGCTTCTGTTATCAATCTCTCCTTCCACCCTGTGACATTAGATTTTAGAACTGTCATCCTATCCCATCCTATTGTATGGTCGTGTGTAACTGCATATAGTGCTATAGCTGAACTGTTCTCTAAATTTCTTATCTTATTCGGGTCAACTAATCTAGATTTTTATGTTCGGCTAGTCTGACTGCCCCTGTTCTACTAGTTTGATCTATATATTTGACCTGAAAATCATTGCAGGGTATTGGATAAACTAAATTGTCTTGTTTTATTGGCTCCACAGGATCCTTTAACCGACAAAGCTTGTTTCTAATTGAGTTTGTAGGTTTGAATGCCGCATTTATTCCTGCCTTGTTAAGAATTCTGCGTAAGGCCTCCGAGGTTCCTTCCTTGTATGGAATCACTGTTGATGATTTAGATTCCTTATTGTTGGTGTCGTCAGTAATATTATTATTACCACTATTATTATTACTATTGTCACTATTGCTACTATCATTATTTATTTTTACATTTCCTTACATATTTCCTGACTAATTTATCCGGTAAATTATTAAGTCTCAAGGCTTCTTTTACGTATATCACTTCCTGTCTTAGATTTTCTTTAGTACTACTTAGTTTTTGTGCTCTGTCACTTAAACATTTTACCAATCCTATTTTGACTGACATAGGATAGGATGATCGGAAGTCCAAATATCTGTTTGAATGTATGGGTTTTCTGTAAACACTAGTGTTTAACTTCTCGTCTTCTTTCCATTTTGCATTGCAATCTAACATTGGGAGTTCCCCTTCCTGACTTTCCAATTCATAAGTGAATAAGCGACAAATAGGAGAAAAAAAGTAAACTATAAAACTCACGTTACAATTGATATGATTATGAACAATAAATTTTGTTTGAAACGTCATCCAGTAAATAATACTGTTTCACTGTGTGATATATCTAATAAACAAACTAATATGGAATTACTTACTACCACAGTGCCCAAGTTTTACACATATATTGCACTACTGATCTTAGTAACCAGAAGTCATCATCAGGATAAAAAAGGCAAAATAAACCTAATGGTAGTTATTGAAGAAATCATCCTTTGAAATCTAGAAAAGTGATGATTTTCTGGAGTGAAAAATATATTTTGTTCTTTGTCATAGGTTCGAATGATAATTATGAAGTTTCAGACTAAGCTGAAATGTTTTTCTCGTATGTGGCACGGTAAATCAAGCCATGAACTAGTGTGTCGTCTTTGAGAGTTGCAGGACTATTAGTTCGACTACAAATATCCAGATGATTGATGTTCAGAGTTCCGTGGAGTCATTTGGGCGCCGAATCAGACTAAATCATTCTACAGTTGTTTAAAATAAATAATCTAGCATATTTAGAACATCGGAACAAGATTTTTCTTAATATTAGTTACAGCTGGAGATACCGGCGATACCATAGTTAGTAACATTTATGTATCTGGCCGTACAGTCACTCTTTCTAGAAGTGTTTCTGAACAACATTCTGAATAAAATTAACTGAAAGTAAAAAAAGAATACTGAGAAATTCTGGGTGTCAAGACATCTCTAAAAAATTTCAAAAGGTGTTTACTGCACATGGTGTTAAAGTCTGTTTCAATTCCTCAAATTCTTTAGAGAAAGCTTCAGTTACTGTGAATGATACATTTCCTGAAATGACACTAAACAAATGTGCTAATAGGATAAAATTTTCATAATACAAGGCTTGCTACGTAGCGGAAAGAAGTAGCTAGGTGAAAGTCATAGTGAGTGGACATATATTACGCACAAAACAACCTCCTAAGAATGAAGTGGAATTAAGAAGTCTTGAAAAGAAACTAGCTATAGAAAGTGGACATAAGACCGATTTTAACAATGTTGAAGTAGTAGGAAGAGGTTCCCATTCATATAAAGAGGAACTGACTTCTGAAGCCTTGCATATTTTAACTACATGGAATGAAACAAATAGGAGGGAAGGGGTAGGGTTATCGCCGAGTTTGTAGACTCTAATTAAATAAAGTGGAAAATGACCATACATTATTATTTTCGAGCTTCTGAAGAATTACTATCACTTATCAATCAACATACAATTAAAATCACACAACATATTTCACTGACTTGACATTGACAAGTTAACAATATCGATGCAGTTATTTGATAACTAATCACAATCAAACAGTTCTATGTACAGAAAGATGGAGTAGCCATGGGGTCCCCTCTCGGTCCACTCCTAGCCAACTGTCTCATGGCGAGTCTTGAAAAACAACATCCTTGATCCCTTGATAAGTAATCACAATCATTTTGCACAAATATTTACTAACAAGTGACTTTCATACGAGTTTACCTTTATTCATTATTTTGATGATTAAGAAAATTAGAGTGATTCTGTCGAAGAAGCTGTAGCTTCGTACAAAATGGGACGTTCAGGAAAATCTTGTTTTAATTTTCTTAACATGCTGGAATTATTTATTTTAAATAACTTTATAATCTTCTAGGCTGTCTGTTTGTTTAATCCACCTCAAGAGAAGTGATTGATTTACGCGTTGAATCACTCAGTCAACAAGTTTGCCTTGCAGTTGTACAGAGTCTTAATGCATTCATGCTTACTTATAAAAGTTTTGCTATCAGATTAGGTATTCATAAAGATACTTCATAAAATTACCCCTTTTAGCAATTAGGAAGCAATGAACCGATTAAAAAACGGTTTGCACCTTACTCAAAATTTAGAATTTTTTAATATATTTAATAATGACGATACCAGAGGTTTATAAAAATAAATTTTCTTGAAGTCCGTTAACCTGATACTGAAATTAATATGACTGATAACCTTTAAACTCTGACAGGGCTTTGAATAACGATTATAAATGGTTAAAGGTTCGCTTTTCAATAACTGGCATACTTTTTGACTGCACTTATTCTTCCAGCAACCAAAATTCTCACTGTAACTTAATGAGATATGCGATACTTAATCTGAAATATAAATAGTCATACATACAAAGTAAATACAAAACTGTTGGCATTAGATAGTTGGAATAAAAACATTTCGTCAATCATCTAGAGCACATACTTGCTGATTCCTCTATATTTACGTCAATAAATGCACGAACATTACCAGCACGACATTCATATCTTCCACTATCAGTTAATGCAGGTTGGTCTATACGTAGTAGGAGTTCATAGCCATTTATTTGCCTAGATCTGGTTACTGTTGGCTCTTGAGCAGAGTGTGGTTGTATCCACTGGCCAGAATATGATTGATCACTACCAGTTACGTAACATCTTAATTCAAGCGGGTGAGATACATCTGTTATATGCATTACTTCTCCTTCGCCGATAATTCTCACTTTTATAGAATCTAAAAGAAAGAAACGCATGAATGTTAGTAGTTTATCAAATTAATCTAAACATCTGTCTTACTACTTTATTTGTGTGCTGCTTAGTAAATTACAAGAAATGTGAATTTTTCTAATTAGGGACTATTATAAACACTAGTACACCGTATAAATAGCTGTAAATTCAACACATCGGATTATCTCTAAAGTCAGTTGGTATTTCACAGTAACACTGTGCAGTCGATTTCAGTGTTACGACTACTTCCCAAGAAGAAAAGTTGTTTACAAAAAGACCAAAATATTTTTAAATATGAAAGTTCTTTACTAATCACTAAGCTTACCTTCGCGAACTGGAATCTGTTCGCAAAATGACTGTCCATCTCCGCGATAACCAGACGGACAAATACACCTTTCATTTTCACGATCACATATTGCATTAGGTAAGCACAGTTTACAGTTCCAGTAGCAACTTCTTTCTCCGTCACCATCATAACCAGATCGACATTTACACATTCCTGTATATCGATCACATTCAGCATTCCTTATTCTACAGCCTCCACCACATGTTGAGTCGACTGAAGGAGGTGGATAACTTTCTGTTCTATCTCCACTTTCGGGTTTGCACACAGATACTCCGTCTCCAGTGAAACCAGGTTTACAGTGGCATGAATATGCACCATTAAATTGATCATTTGGTCGACAGAGAGCATCACGATGACAGTTATCTTGAATGCATTCCATGCATACGCCTTCGTTCACTTTAATAAATCCACGTGCACAAACACACTGTCCAGCTACACACTGAGCAATTTCTTTGAAAGGTACTCCGTTACATGTTCCACAGCTTGGGGATGCTAGAGTTAAGGAAAGAGTTGACAGAAGAGCAAAAATTCACTCATACCTATCCGTATTCTAAATTCGTTATAATGGTTAAAATGTGACTCTATGGCAGTGAAAGAATAACCAGGAATTCAGACGGATGTAGTTTTTAGTTAACTGTTTGAAGACGTTTTGAATATGGGAGAAATTATGGGTAAATAACCGATTTTATAAATGTGTTGGGATTATAAAGAGATTTTCTAAGGCTATTCAAGTGACTGTACACAAGTCTTGATATAACAAACCACTATATGGCTCGTGTTAAGATATCTTGGAAGGCAAATAGAACTATGAGTTTATTTTGATTTAATCACGTTCTCTGAGCTGGTTGGTTAAATTTTGACGCTTTCGATGCCCTTTTAGACAACATCTTTAGCTCAGCTTTTTGTGTAAAATGAACTTATCTGAATTCTTCATAAATTTATCTCCTGACAATCATTACTGTGAGTGGTTGGTTTTTAAGTTTTTGTTAATCATTTTTATTGACCTGGAATTTGAAAATCAAGACAATGGCTGTCAGGAAATAAATTCATGGAGAATTCAAATAAGTTCATTCCATAATAAAACATGTGCTGAAGATGCTGTCTAGAAGAACAACGAAAGCTTCGTAATTAAACCAACCAACTCATAGTATACAGCTAAATCAATATCATTCACTTGAACTGCATACCTTCCCGTTACCATGAGTTTACACTTAAAATGGGACAATCAGATTACATTGGTGAGAAAAGTTTTCTGATACCTTTGGATCCTTAACATACTTTTAGCATCATATTTATTAGCCGTATAACGGTTCCTTAACTGTGGTGCAAACCGAACACTTTTCATTTAGAAAATAAAAGAATTATACTTTAGACTACTTTTTTGTGTAAAGAATATAAGCTGTTATTCATGAATATCACTGGTTTTCCTCTCTTTATTTTACTGGGCTGCAGTAATTAGTCTCTGATGACTTGTGAGGTTGTAGGACGGACGCCATTATATCAGCTTTATAGGACAATTAATTTTTAGGGTGATATATTTGGGTCTTAACGAGAACAATGTCATTTAAAGAGATACAAATATATCTTTCTGATGTGTCCAAAATTGTCTAAAAATCACATTATGCATTCGCCAGCTGGATACCAACAGCTAAATGGCATTTAAGCGAAAGTAATGGCTTTCTTGAAGTGTTTTTATTGGGAAACACGTGTTCCAAGACAGCCTATAGCTACGGTTTAGACTACTGTAAAACTTTAATGTTTTGTTTCGCTGTCTTCAAAGCCAATGATCAGTTATTATGTCAGTATTTATTTTCATCAACTGATGAGTTGTGCAACCTACAAGGTCCTAAGATTTACCGATTCTCTTAGTAATAATGGTAAGGGAGTTATTAACTGAAGTAAGTACCATTCCTTATGATTACAGATACAAATTTTTGATGTGTCAAAAAGAATGAAACTGAAAAAAAGCAGGACTTAGTGTTGATTCAATTCCAGCTTCTAATATCCGATTTACTTCTCACCCTTACCTAATGGAAAAAGAAGAAACTTTTTGAGTATTAGATTAGAGTAATACGTTTTTATGTTGTATTTCAGATTTCTGTGTATTCTGAAGGTATTCGTGAGTGTTGAACTTGTGTGAGGTAAGATAACTCCCGTTACATAGGTAACTTGGAGGCTTCCTCTCAGAGCTGACTGCTTTTTCCATACTTGGTTTATAAGTGTAGCATTCACTTTTCCACTTTGTTGTATAAATCTGCGCTTTTTCTTAGGTAGTATCCAAGTATATGCAGATACATATTTTAAACTGTATATACATTGAAAACATGTGCCGTATCAGGAGGGCGCTAAACAAAAATATGCTCTAGACTTTTGTCATTAGGAAGACTGACAGATTACTTTATCATTACTCAATGAAGGCAAACTTATATTAGTATTAATATACGAAAATAACCAATGGGTTCTAAAAAAAATCATCAGATGTCTAAAGACGTTCGGTGAAAGAGTAAGCATCGTCTTGCAAGTAACCTGTTCATATGAATGTTAAGAGAATCATTTGTTAACAGGAATGAATCTGGGATTTAAGTAACTAAGCTGTAAACATATACTTTACATATCTGTAGTCTGAAGTTTCTGATAATTCGAGTTTTATTTAAATGTAGTCCATTACCATCCCATTTTGGTTCTATAGCATAATTATAGATGTATTAATAAGCTGTTTTTGTAAAATGGTAGAAATTTATGCCAGCAAGAACAGTGGGTAATTAAGAAGACAACACATACCTCCAGGTATTACATTGCACACTTGGTAACCATCTCCTTCATATCCATCCAGACAACGACATCGGCCTTCGAAGCATCTAGCAAACTGGTGGCATTGTTCTTCACGACATTCTTCTGGAGCTAATATAAAAAAGTCACATATTATTCAAAGAAAGAAAGATTTTACTGAATTGAGATTTAGGAAACCATGCCACTTCGTTCACGTATTTTTAGCAGGTATTAGTAAGATGAAACATAAAAACATAGCAGCGGAAATGCAGCGGATTAGTTTGTTAGTTTGTATTGTAGAGAATAAAGACAAGTGTACGCAGGCTTACTGAGATTTGATGATATTAGTTACAAATGAAATTTTAATTGATCATAATCTATCAGTTTTAAGACTGTTTTATGCTTGTAGTGTGAAGCACTAGTCAGCGTTCGTGCAGGCTGGTCCGAAAAACCTCACCGTTAACAAAAGTCAACATGCTGTAAACCAAAAAGGGGTGTAGTGAGCAGTTTGATAATCTATTAGTAGCAGTCATACGCTTACCACTTTTAATGGGCTGGCAATTCCAGTAGCCGTCTCCTTTATAACCATGAATACAACGACAGAATCCGTACTCACATTGAGCTTTCGGATGGCAACGCACCTGCTTACATGGATCTGAATTTATTATAAGTACTACAGTTACGTTGAATACAGCAAATATTTTTTGCAAAAGCAATAAAAGTTGCACTTTATTGTTGAACAACTGAAATACCAGTTACAGTCATTTACTGGCCGACTTACGGTACTTTTAAAAAATCAACTTTTATGTCGGAATAAATGTTCTTCATATCATTCTACAGTATACTGTAAAAACCATTAAATTTACATGGATATATTTTGCTTTTTATTGAATATGAGATCGTTTATTTATTATAGCCTCAATAATTGCATCAGAGTCCCAAGTAAGATTGTCTAAACAAGGGAATCTTTGTGTTATTTCCCATTTCCTGTCACTTGATCCTTTATACTTGGATTATGTTTTTAGATGAATTTTTGCGGCATTTCTTGACTAATATTTACTCATATAACAAGAGACGCTCATATTAAAAAAAAACTATGATATACATGTGCGCTAAATCACCGTCACAGTCAGAATTCTTTTACTGTTTTCTTAGTCTCAAATATCTTCCAGTCTAACTTCATATATTCTATATGTAAGCACTCATATTGGTGATAAAACTGTTTAGTCAAGGCAAAAATAAAAATCACTGGTATCAGGGATTAGACTTCCATAGCTAATATGCATGATTAGTTCGGTTTCCTTCTTAGAATTACTGATTAACTTTATTTCCATAGTTATCATTCAATAAATATGTAGAATTGTGAGGAAGGTTAAAAGATCTCTTGTTAATGAGGTATCAACTGAATACATAAAAGTTGTTGGAAAGAATGAAGAAATACAGCAGTACTAAGGATATAATGTACAAATAAACTTTTTGATATGCTTTTTTTACTTTTGGAATAGACAGAATTCTAAAACGCAGGTAATACGTGCAATTATTACAGGTTTTAGTAAATCAGAGCACATTCCTGAAAACGTATGATTTATTTTACTTAATGTTTACTGAGAAAGAAAGCCATATTTCAATCAAATTTAAAAAGCTGTCAAGGTTAAAAATGTGGAAAATTCAATATATATATATGCAGCTACCAGAAGCACATAAAAAACCTGTAAACATGTAAGCAAGCGGCTGTGACAACTACTCAGGCACATAAATACGAGTAAAACAATAACTGAATAATATCAAATGAAAATGCATATAAAGGTCATTTTTATCCTGATACCCACTGATTTATGCATTGCAGTTGTTTTACTTATAAAAAGGTTTCAAATACGTTTATACAAACTAACGCAGAGCAAATTACTCATAGTGACTTGCAAATTTTTGTCATGCAATGCCTACATTTACTCACCATTAGTTTTACGTCTACACTCTCTGTATCCATCACCCTCGTAACCTTCATTACAGTGACAGTAACCATTCTCACATCTAGCATTTTCATGACACTGGACATTGACACATGGATCTGAAAACATTAACATTTATCTTGTATTGATTTACTGCATTTGAAGTAAATATTTTCGAAATAAACCAGACTAGGTGAACATAAGGTGAAGGTTAGCTTATCAATCGCATGCATATACCAGCAATACATTAGTATTTGTAGGAATTGTCAAAATAGCACTGAAAAAACAGTTAAATGGATTAACTGCTTTTGAAAAGGGCATACTTGTATTGTTTACAGTGAGTGGATATGCATAACTCATCACATGCCGGTTGATATGTCAGAAAAGACGCTTAAGCTGTCTAGTAACTTCATACATGTTTTCCTCGTGTTAATTGTTAACTTTTTGTCTCAAAAGTAACCTGAATTAAACAACGCTTACTTTGAAAAGTCTGAGAAATTTTACATTCTACTGGTAAACTTCACATACCTGTGTATTACTTCTAGACAGAGGTTAGACATATAAATTTACTGATACATGCCTTAATTATAATTGTATTTCTGAATCAAGAAATAATTTTTTTGTTTTGATTATAGCTTGATTCCACACCGTAGCTTTTATACAAGTATGGAATTTTCATCGTTTGATGTTGGTAGCCCATATTTTGCAGGTCGACCATTGATATCGGGTGTGCGTCGGCAGGGGATCGAACCCCGGACCATGTGCATGGTAGGCGAGAGTCCTAACCGCTGTGCCACCGACGCACAGTTGGTGTGATCATAAGAAGTAATATTACCAAAATGAAAATTTATCATCTTGTGTAAACTATTGACTTATAATTATAGTTGATCTGATCTATTGCACAATGCACAAACTTTTCAATGACAATGAAACACGCTTTGTCAAAACTTCCTTAAGGGTAGCTGAAGTACTTACATGAATTTCAGAAGAATAAAAGTACTTCACTTCAAGCTAAGTAATTACAACATGTGTAATGATAACTGTTTCCGAATGTACAAATCGAAATTAAAGTGGTTGTTAGTGTGTGTATACATAAAACATACTTTTACATGGAGTTTATTGTATCCAGATTCATTTTGAGCCATTTTCGAGTGATTACTTTACTCGATGGTGTTAAAGATTTAAGTAAGTTCAAACTTCAGTGTATATTCTGTGTTATCCTGAAATAATTCATTTCAGAATTAGTGGTATGTAGTCTTTCAAGTGTTTAAAAAGGATAATAGGTATACCTGATGATTTCTATGAGATACAGATGGATATAAAGTGTTGGAAGAGGTATGCTTACTCATGTCATTCTAATCACATTGTACTGAGTTCAATAGACAGTTAAAAACAGTACAGTTTATAAGCTAATAACAGGTGATATTGGCCGTTATTATTTGAAAGTTTATAACAACTTTTTAAAACTATTACCTAAAAATCAAGGAAACATTTTTCTAAATAAAACACTAAAATATTTTCTTTGTCTTAACATTCACACTGATATAAAGATGAAATATAATAAATAATATTTAACCCAAATTCGATATGATAAAAAAAGATAGATCCTTAGTGATTCCTGAACACATCTTGGATAAAGTTCCAACTAAATATAATTTATTTATGCTCATATATTTTGTTACATTATTTCCAAAGGTTTTATCTTGTGAAATGTTATTTATTCTATTTATTTTTGATTATAGCTTGAAACCACATAGTATTTTTGGTACAAGTATGGAATTTTCATCATATGATATCGGTAGCCCAAATTTTGCAGGCCGACCATAGATATCAGGTGTGCGTCGACAAGGTATCGAACCCCGGACCATGTGCATGGTCGGCGAGAGTCCTAACCGCTGTGCTACCGACGCACAAATTACGTTCAGGTTCTATCAAGAATAATTTATTAAGAGAATCTTGACTCTACACATTCATTATGAGAATAGACAGGACAAATTTTTCTAACACTTGTTTTTATAAAAGGGTTTTGGGTTGGGTTATGGAGGAATACACATCCAAAAAGTAGTACCAAAAAGGTAGCAAAATCAGAACGCATACACACATATATGCATAAAGCTATCACAGAAAAAAACATGCAACACAAATTCAGGCTACTTGTTCTACCTTCAGTTTTTCTTCTACATTCGTAATATCCGTCTCCTTCATACCCAGAAGGACAGAAACAGTAACCATCAGTACACTGAGCATCTGGATGACATCTCATTTGGGAGCACTTATCTGTTAGTAATAATTCATACAATTCATATGTTAGATTGTAAAATAAAATGAATCTAAGAAGGTAAACTGCACACTAGTGTGTACAAAAACCGACTCATTCTAGTAGATATTTAGACTTTAATTCATCTCATCCGTTAACTGTTAAGGTAGGCTTAGTTAAGTGTTTAACAAACCGAGCAGTGGCACTAAGTAGCACAAAAAAGACCTAAAGGATGAAATAAAACAGATAGAAGAGGCTTTGGTGTTAAATAACTATCCTTTAAAATTCAATAGGAAGATCACAAGAGGCCGAAATAAAAATAATTGTGAAATTAGCAATAATAACATAAATAAGAGAGAATATAAGTCATCTACAGTTATACCATATAAAGAAGGAACATCTGAGACCCTACACAGGATTCTAAATAAAGCAAGAATTAGGGTGGCAGCATTCAAACCTACAAACTCACTCAGGGACAAGCTGTGTAGGTTAAAGGACCCAGTGGAACCAATTAGACAAAATAATATAATTTACAAAATACCCTGCAATGATTGTGAGGTCAACTACATAGGTCGAACTAGTAGATCAGGGGTAGTCAGATTGTCAGAACATAAGAATCTAGCTAAGGTAGGAATGGTTGACCCCGATAAGATAAGTAATTTAGAAAAAAGCTCAGCAATTGCAATGCATGCATTAACACACAACCACACAATAGGGTGAGAAAGGGTTGAAATTCTAAAAAGTAATCTATGTAGGTGGAGAGAGAGGTTGATTACTGAATCGTTGCTCATGGAGTCTACACCCAACATATGCAATAGGAATGATCCATCACTCATACCCAAAATATGGAAAATACTACTACCAATCAAATCAAGTGAAAAATAATGGAACTGTATGAATGAAGTTAGGAAGTCGTGTGAGTACCTTGATATGATTATGAGCAATAGATTGTGCTCGAAACGTCATCAGTAAACATTACTGTATAACATTGTGAAACTTTATCAAAACAAAATTTACCCATAATGGAATTACACTCTACCACAGTGCACAAGTTTTATTCTTATATCAATAATTCATACAATTTATTACGAGATACAAACTAATTGTGAAAGTTGAGCCTAATACGTTGTTAATAAACAGATTGTAAATTACGGAATATAAACATTGGGTCATAGGAGTTATTAGGAAGACAATTGCAGTGAAGAAAATTTTCTTTTCGACGAAGTCATCATCTTGGCTGTACATTCGTGTGTTTATATCAAATGGATAGGAAAGTTCCAGAATAATATCCGGTCAAGGGTCAAATTAGTAAAAAATTAAAATTAGGAATTAGAATGCCATAATGAACAGGGGGATGGATAAAACAAACAAAGTAGCATCATGATAGCTAAGAAGATTGACATTGTACAATTAGGGGTTAGAAATGTAGAAATAGCAAAATAGACAGGATGTTTGGATAAAAACTAATGTGATGAATAATTGTTTATGTAATCAGGGATTAAATATGTGGAAATAGTAAAATGCCAAAATAAACACGAAGTTCGGGTATGAAAATATGGTAGTGTAAACAGGGATTAAGAAAAACTTAAATTAACGTGAATAAACAGGAAGTTTAGGTAAGAAAGGCGATAGGATGGTCATTACTAAAAAATTACCTGTTTATGATGGCCATGGCAGGGACAGGAGTTGGACGTATTTCTTTTGGATACAAAGGGTGGGTTTGAGCTTTTGTATAGCTAGCGCTTCAGCTATGCCCAGATGTCTTGATTTGACTCCCTTTGATAGGTTTGATTGAATCTTGTATACTATTTTGAAGGATTTTTCGAAAGGTGCTGAATGTCCTGAACTGACCAGATGTTCTGTCACTGAACTGTATACACGCTTTTGGTCTCCTTTTACTAACCAGGCTGGGTAGTGTTCACGAGCGCGTTTTTTTTGTAAATTACAAGTATTCACTCTGGTCAAAATATTTTGATGATCTTTATAGAGTCTATGAGGTTTACTGCATGTTCATGTGTTCGACCTGTAGTGAGATTCACTTGAATTTTTATGATAAGATCTGAGATTTTATGATCGTTTCATATAATTTAGAAATGATAATGACTAATCATATTTGGAACTGCTTTAAAAACTTAATCTGCCTGAATACTTTAAATGGCGGAAGGTGATTTAGCTATAAATGAAAAAGTAACGACAGACTTCTCACATTTCTTTAATTGTTTATATTGTAAATAAAACTGGACAGCTCTAGGAGAATAAGGAAAGATTTTGGATATGCAAGAATTTCCTGGGAAGATTACGGATAACAGTTTGTTTTGTCCAGCAAATTATAATTGCTTTTTCCGTGTATGGATGGGAAAATCTAAAAATCTAGAGTTACACTCTGAGAAATACTAAAAGTATATTCCAACGTGAGAGAATATTAAAATTCTAATTTGCATTTTGTTAAAGTGAATATATTAAGAACTTTAAAGGAGTTTAAATAATAATTTAAACTTTAATAGTTCAACAAAAAATGGAGTCTCTGATTAAAATACATCAGTTTTTACCTTCTGTAGCTTGTCGACATTCTGAGTATCCATCTCCCTCATAACCATCCATACAACGACACTGTCCACGATCGCATCTAGCATACTGATGACAACGAATATTCGCACATAAATCCACTATTAACAAAGATGTGTAGATTAAAATACTTCAGATAATAGGGTGAATTGTCTGATATTAAAACATAAGATATTTGAAGTCATCGTTTTGGCTATTAGAATTCATTTACATTTGACAAACCTTTATGATTTCTTGGACTTTTCTTTTTATATAACTAAGAAGATTGTGATCTGTTGGCATACGAACTCTTAGAATGATAAGTTTAATCGTGGTTAGATGTTATTCATTAGATAATATAGCTGATAATGGAATATAGGCCAGCGTCTCGTCTCATTTGGAGCATTTCACATATGTGCACTAGCTCCCAGTGGTATTCCATTTTGACTAGAACCCACTTCCTGTGCTTTTATATGTCATAAAGTTATTCATTATTCTACTGAGCTATTAGTTTCAATAAATAACAAGTAGCACTGATTAATAGACAACGTTCTAGGACTGATTATAATCAGTACTGCGTTCGAGCCTCAGCGAGGATACTATTACGGTGTGATGCAAGTATAGCTAGATGATTACTTATGTGATAAAACTTGTGAGCAGGAAATGTGACGTCTGCATAAAATCAGGTGTGATTGTTTTGTTCAATATTTTAACCCTGTTTAGCCGTTGATTTACTCCTTTTTAATATGGGGAATTAAGTTGTGTTTATTTATGGGTTACATCCTCATTAAAATCATAATTTTACCTTCCGTTGTCCTGCATTCGTTGTAGCCATCCCCTTCGAAACCAGGATTGCATACACACTGACCATCCTGGCAGCGTCCATTGTCAGCGCAACGGATTCCTTCGCATGGATCTAGGAGGAAGTGTTTTTAAAAATACCGACAAGAATATGAAGAAAATCAACGTTAATTTGTACAAGCAGGCACCTCATTTCCAAATATACCTAAAGCGTTATATATGCATAAAAAAATCGATACACTGCAGGAAGAAAGTAACACAGATTATAGTATACTTTGTGCCATGTTGATCAACGGATAGGTTACAGCGGGGTATTCAGTAATTAGTAATTTGTAAATATCTGTCCTAGTAGCCAGCTTCATATGATTAGATGTGAAGGGAGTACCAAAACGTCAGTGAGGTCAAACTGCATGCCTGGATTTCTTCCTTTTCTACTGTTGCTGCAACTTAATACATTTAACCAAGATCTCAGCTTCCATTCAAACTACTTGAACTCTTTTCTTCATTACACTACACAATCATTTTTGTTTTTCAGCACTACTGAAATACTACCTAATGTTTCACCGTCTTTCTATTCCTAAGGGGAGATCATACTCCATGTTTCTGCACATTCAAATATTTTATGATAATTTTAGTACTGTTATAATCAGGAGTTAGAGAACTGTTGGAAAACCCGAGAGTACTGGACAGCTGTTTCGTCCTAGTGTGGAGCTCCTCATCAGTACACACCCAGTGGTACTCGAACCCAAGACTTTCGAACTACAAAGGGAGCTCATAGACCATTCGGCCACTGGAACCCAATGACCCATGAATTCCAACTTCTGCCAATTCGTGATATATACAGCGCAAACGCCAGGCATTTTCATTGGTGAGTAACTGTTCTCTTACCAGACTTGGTGGACCCGGCTGGTTACGACTTCTCACTAGAACTCCAGGTAATTTCTTGTATAGGGCAAGTCGCTAGTGTGCTAGTAACCATCAATTCCCGTTGAAAATATACAATAAATTTAGCATATATCACTAATTCAACTTTTGCTTCACTGTTTTAATACTTATGTCTTGTTTCATTACATCTTTTCATGATTTTATTGTAACTGTAACACTTCCATGTTCACTAAATACTTAATTAAAACAAGACAACAGGAATACTTAATAAATACTTGAATTCAGTGAAATCAATAATAAGTCATAGATTATCCAGCATAAAGTCTAGTGCCTACTTTCCCATATATTATGTAATGATTTATGTTGTAATTTTTGTTTGAGAAGTTAAACTTCAACGTCCAAAAGAAGTTTCTCTAATTTGATCTAAAATTTATGATATATAATCAAAAGTCAATTTGTTTTATTTGGTGTTTATTTAGATCTTAGCCAGTTCACATGATGTTCTAGAGAATGTAAATCTTTTTCTCAAAATATAACTAGAAGTGACTTTCACTTACACCGGAAGAAGTTATTTGATGATAGTCATTAAGTTCGTTAATGTGAGACTTTGGCTCACAGTTTCCATGCTAGAAACCACAAGCTGACTGACTAAAAATAATAAAGTAACGTAGTGTGATATATCTTGGTGTTCTAGTTTCCTTATTTTAGGGAATCAATGACAGAATCTAATCGGGAACTAACTGATGAAAGGTGATTCATCAACCTTAATACCGGATTAACAAAACAGCTTCTGTTTGATTTCTTTTTGGTCGAATAGTTTTCGCATAAGACTGTGCATAGCTTTTTTCATTTCTAAAGTACTTTTGTTATTAGCAGTAAGTTTGATGCATAAATTTCATTTAAAGCAAATATAATGATTCTATTTTAAAAAGTGAATCCATTTCACTAATAGCCCAACAGATGCATTTTTTTCTAACGATTCAATGAGCTAAATAATATTGTTTTTTCTACCTGAGCATCTCATCTATGCACACATGGTAAATCTTCAAAACCAAAAAAGTGTTTACCTTCTGTGCGAGCATCACAAAAGTTCACCCCATCACCAACATAACCATGACTGCAATAGCATCGATTTTCATAGCACTGTCCAAAACGATGACACTGAACACCTGCGCACAGTTCTGTGATAATTAAGATTGATGTGTAAAATAGTAAGTCAGTTTTTTGTCTACATTTGTTAAATTGAGATCTTCAAGTTAAATTCAAAAGTCAAAATAGTCTATATAAGGCTCTGAGTTAATTGTCGCTTACCAAATACCTGTAAATAACACTCTTGTTTTCCCTCCGAAATGAAATTACTTCGCAAAAGTATTCGTTTTGTTTAAAACAGTTTCAAAATGGTGAAAGTAAAAGGCATAATAGCTAGTTGAGATTCAGATGACTTTAAGAAATCAATATCAGAATTTTATTCATCCACAGTACTTCACTCCTCAAACCCAGGAATACACTGACCCGTATTTAGATTTCACTGTCTTAAATAACGAGTTAAGTGATCAAATAGCTTAAGATTGCTTATTTCATTCAGTAATGTGTGATATGCGGTTATAGTTAACCTATTTATCTGCTTACTGAAGCAGGAAAGATAACACGTGTGCGTTAACATATACATGAAGAAAACCAAAGTGAATAAATACTATCCGGAATGCACCAAATTAAAATCATATACTGAATAAATTTTGAGATGAAATAATATCTTCAGATATGATTAAGTGTCTCTTCTTCATAGTGAGATAAGGAAGAATGTTATAAAACAGGTTTATTAAATTTAACATTTCAGTGTGTATGGTTTGTATTTATATTTTGATCAACTGTCTAGAAGTTATCGTCGAGCAGTTAAGTGTGCAGCAATTTGAATAATAAATATCAGATCATTAAGAAGTAGTATGAGTAAATGTGTACACTTTTCTGAAGAGATTTAAAGCAATCTCAGACGTTATGATTGTGCTAAATGTTAACAATTTTCCTTCTTTTGTGGTATGTTAAGTAAGAACTCACTTTTGTTTGTACAACTCGATATAATTTTATAGATGTTTCATTTTAGGAATATGAATTTACTTCAACAAAAATGAATATAAAATCTGTTTATTAGACTACTTTGTGTTGGGTCGGAGTATATTAAAGAAAATCAGTGCTTTAAATGGGAACTCGCCCAAAATTCGACTACTCAATGATCACGAAAAATACTTTTAAAAATACGAAAAAAGTGCCATAATGTCTTCTGAAAGGAGTTTCATCACAAACTGACGGCATCTGTTTGTTTTCTACTAACGTATTTATTAACGGTATCATCTGAGATAATTTTCCTTTCAGAGACTGAGAGATAAGCGATGATCCATCTATCGTCACTTACATGAAAACCAGGGAGGACAAATAAAGACTGGAGTAAAATTAAGATCTGGTTGATAGCTGAACTTAACAACTAATTCAACAATTATCTGAACAACATCCTAGATGCTTTTAGTTTAAATTCTGCTCTCTTTTCAAGCCTGATTATGCCACCACTTTAGTCATTTGTCTGTTTCCAGATGGTATGGTTTCATGAACGCGTTACAATGGTTTTACTAGATTTCGTAACACATGTGCAATTTACAATCAGTGGACGGTTGCGTATTTTGAAAAGTATGTCAGGAAATAAGACTTTGTAAATAGATTAAATTTACTGACGATGACAGGATGAGTGTCTGAAAGCTATTATAATTGTGGGTGCTGAAACATATAGACTTGATGTGTAATAAGTTATGCACTTGCAAAAATACAGTTGTTTTATGAAATTAAAAACAGTACTGAAATATTGGTAGGTAATCTAAATAACCCTTATAACTTTACAATTGTAATCTGGAAACATCTATGGAGGTGATACATGAATATTCAAGAATTTCCAAAATGGAGAGGATGAGGTTTCAGTCTTCCGAATTGCATAGTCTCATATTTAGGTTAGTAATGCAAATAAATAATCAAGCAGGTATCAACAATAAAAAGACAAATCAAACAAGACTGACGTAATTCTGTGGTGTTTTTCCACTGAGTAGAACACAGGTAAGCGTTTTACCAATAAATATTGAATAAAGGATGTGGGAATAGTTTTGTCGGCCGTAAGAATAAAACGAGCCTAAGTTATATTTTCTGTATGAGAAAGAACCTCATACAGCCTAATTCCCAAATACACTGAATATTTGTTCATCTGTTGTTAGTAATAACTTTAGCAGATTTAAATAACTTTCACTCACACCACAAGTCGCTACAGATTAAAATATCCTTATTTTAGTGTAGAGAGCATATTGCAGATTATTATATAACCGAAATAATCTTAATTAGAAACTTTATTTACATTGATTTATACAGGTAACAAGGGTATGAGACGGTAAGAAACGCTTCTTCAAATTTACCATGTGCTTTATGAATAATAAAATGTAAATGAATATTAAATCAATCCTGCTTCCTTGGGAAAATGTGACTTATATGAAGTTTTCAGGACATTGACATGCATCCAACCGATGCTTCTGGTAGGTTGAAACCCAACTCTGAATTAATAATACCAACAAAACAACTTTATTCTGGACAGTATGTTAACACAGTAAAAAAATTTTCAGCGTATATAAAAACTAAATTTTTACTCTTCATTCATGATCTTCACGAAAAAAGCATCTGACAGTATATCATGTGGCATATCGTTAAGTTGAAAGCTAATTAATAAGGCTCTGAAGTTTGCGCTGCAATACAAAGGCATATTTGAATGATTAAAACAATATGAAATGTAGAAGAGTTGATGCATTATACCGGAGAGAAATTTGAGTAGCCCACTAATTTAAGCCGGCCTTTGATAAATGAATGTAATAAACAGTTAGGGCTTTGTTTTGAATAATTCACCTACAGAGATACTTAAAACAACATGAATTACTTTATACAATACAAAGTTCATGATTAAATTGAGATTAAGTGTAGACTGTTTATTCCTTAAGTATTTGCTGATCGTCTCATATTTGAAAGAGTACATTTTTGAATAGTGAATCTTTTTCATCACATAATAACTTTATCTGATAAAAACAGTGATACAGTATTATTTACTGATAACCTTACCGGCACAGTTTATTACTCACAAGCATATTTATGTATTCGCGTAACTTTTAATCTTTATCTGCATAACTTCACTATTTCTTATACTATGTAATTCAAAACAAGCAGATCAGAGTCAATGAAATACTCAGAACAAAGAAATTTAGCTAAAGGAAGGTGTGGGGATCAGTGAATCTGTGTCCCTCTAGTCTACATCTGACACGTGCAATAGGAATGATGTAACATTGACACCAAAGATACTGAAATAATATTACTACCAGTTAAATCAAAGGAGAAAAAACAATGGGTCTACATAAAAATTTGTGAAGGTTATATGACGGCCTTGAGATAATTATGAGCAATAAATTGTGCTCAAAACGCCATCAGTAAACAGTACTGTATCAATGTGATTTTTTACCAAATAAAATTATTCTTTGATGGAATTATATTTTGCCATAGTATCCAATTTCTATTCTAGTATTATTAAGATTATATGCGCTACTTATTAAAAATAAAAATGCACTGTTATAATTATGGAAAAAATCATTGTTTTAGTAATGTTATCAGCTGAAGTGAAATTAAAATCTAGGAAATACAATAAACCAAGGTGGAGAAATTAAATTGTATTTCGTGTTTGAACTAGTAATTGGAATTCTCGGAAGCTGAATTTAAGTAATTCTCCGTTCTAAGTATTGCATCTGTAACCCATTTAGATAATACATCTTAAATTGTATCCATATAGTGAACGTTTCTGGTTTAATCACATTTCTGAGGTACTTCAGTGACATAGGGACAAATCCAATTCATCATTTTATTTTACTCATGTCTAGGGCTATCTAGACGCCAGCTGTTTATGTATGATAACGCGAAAACCGTCTCAGTCAAAAATAATGTATGTTGATATAAGTTAATCAAGTTTTTTTTCTCAGGTCATTTATACATCTAAAGAAAACCAAATTTCACTGAGATATATCTAGCCATTTGTTTGTGAATATTCTTTTCCAAAATACTTACTCTTATACATGAGTAACACTTATCTCATTATGAAGTTTACATTTATGAGAACCATTTCTGTCTGTCTGTCTGTTTTCGACATAGAGCTTTGCACATATGTACGGCAGTTCAAGTCGCCACACTCCCTTCATGTAGCACACAAAGCAAGAGAAGAAAGTACAAAAAAAGCAAAATAGAGACAGTAAGTAGAGGTGTGAGACAAAGGAATAGTAGTAACGAAGACCCGACCGAAAGCTGCTACCTTGACGTGGTGGTCGGGCTTGAAACCGCAATGATCTAATCAAGCTATACTGGCTGAGACTTATGTCTCTTGAGGTCCTACCATGCCAGGCAGGTTGTTTGGATAGCGGTTAAACAAAAAGCAGCTACCCATTCCAACACTATGATACATAAAAATTTACAAAATATCATGCCAGATCGGCCGTGGCCCGGATTAACCGCGACCGCGCTTCCTGTTGTCGTGTCACAGGGCAGGAGTGATAAGTATGCTACTGAGACACACCAAACAAAAAAGAACGAACAAAAGCAGGCCGCGTGTGACCGGCCTCAAGCAGTTGTCCCCTGGGCTCTGCGGTCACGCAACCAACTTCCACGGTGTGGGCAGCCGGGAAGCAACAATCGCCCTCACATTCCGACATGCACACGAAACCTCTCTAATACTCACTCATCTTTGTCTTCATCTTCATCTCTATCATCTTGCCTTCCTTCCACTGATGCAACTCCTCTACTTGATGGCTCCTCACTTCCTCTTCACTCTGTGTCCGTGAGAACCATTTATAGTTAAAACAATGTCTATTTGTAAACCTTATTCTCATGTAGACGAGATCTCTGCAGTATTTAAAATCCCTTAAGATGTACATATTTGTAAACACAAAGAATGTTGATAATACACAACGATACATACACTTAACTTACCTTGTGAATTAGACTTGCATTCATAATATCCATCACCAGAATAACCATAACGACAGTGGCATTCACCTTTTTCATTACAGTCTGCATTTTCATGGCATCGAACATTTTTGCATGGGTCTTAAACAACATATGTATATTA